TTGAGAGAAAGCATTGTTGTAGCTCGACTAATTTGCTTCTCCAGCAGTAACTTTTGCAAAAACATCACAACTAATTTTCTGTTCCGGAGATAATAAAACTTAGATTTAGGAGTTAGTAGATGCTGAGATACCTTACACAATTGGGATGGCCTTGAACTGTCTGATGCAATGACAGTAGAGAAGTGACACTTCTTTGCCATTGTCACCACTGCTTCATAGGTCTTCCAGTGAGCTCTGTAACACATGTCAAATTCAGTAACAATTTTCTGCCAGCATTGTTCTAGACATCTCCTGGCCCTCTTTAGGAATTCTTTAGGTCATCAAGATGTGTAGTAAACCATGGGTCCAGGTTCCGCACAATGATTGCTGAGGCTGACATGGAGGATGATAACCATGATCAACGCCCTCCAGTGTGGCGTTGATGAAAGTTGAAGTTGAAGAAGGACTGTATAAGAAGGTGCCGCATCATTTCTTTCAACCAGGTTTCAGTTACTCGTCACATCAATTTTCTCTTCCTCCAACAATCTAGACAGGAGTTCAGTTTTGCCTCTAATCTGGTATTGCACAATATTAAAGAGGGGGTGGAGGAACCAAGGGCCCTTGCACCAGCATCTCTTGGAAGGTTATGGAGATTAGATAAGCAGTGAGCAGTCTTGCCTAGTGGTGGCCAACTTTGGAAATTCCCACTCCTGTATCTACCAGCTCTGATATGCATAGAAACAGCATGTTCAGTAACCATCCCACCCCTGAAACCACTAAGAGGTCGCCCCTTTGGCATGCTATGTTCCACAGAGAAGCCACGAAGTAGTCCTAAGTTAAGTCCTAGATATATTGTTATAGTTGCTAAACGGGCATTGTTTAGCCCATTATCAGTACTGCTCCTACATTACCCAGTTGGTGTCCAGTGCTGAGAGAGCTGAGGGAGCTTTTTGCAAGTGCTGTGTGAAATGGCAAGGCCCCAATCTGTGGGTCCCTAAGAGCCCTTGTGCTCTCACCCTTCGGCTAATGCCAAGAAGCTCACACCTCTGGCATGGAGGGCATTCCTTTGAAGCTAGTGCATTAACTGTCACCTCACTAAAGTAAAAAGACACACAGGAAAGCAGCTCAGAGTGGGCAATGTAGGCATGTACTTTACCTCTCTATAAGCCCCAAAGGACTGATGACAGAACAGCAACATGCATGCACACATGCTGGAGATTGTGCAGAAGTGCTATGTGCATGAGAGCCAGCAGTGTTGTGCTTAAGAGTGTCAGACAATGATCCGGGAGACCCAGGTTCGAATCCCCACTCTGCCATGGAAGCTTGCTGGGTAACCTTGGGCCAGACATACACTCTCACAGCTGTTATGAGGATAAAATAGAAAGGAGGAGAATGGCTACTTTGGGTCCAAGGAAATAAAAAAATACTTTGAAACTGTCTCTGTGATACTTCCCAGGACCGATTTCGCACAAGAGCTGTGCCGCAGTTGCACCTCCCTTTGCCCCGCTTCGATTGATCAATTTCCCACTCAAAGCCGCGCTGCCGTGTTTTAACCCACAGCTTCACCCGATTTTCCCCGCGGTTTCGTGATACTGTTTCTTGAGGATCAAATACCAGTACATTTGCTGAAACTTAGGAATAGGCTATATGAAGAAGATTGTAATTTTAAACCATTTTATTTGAGCCTATCAAATAGATGTGACTAGGCTATAGATCCCTCTGTTTCCTAGAAACTACTACTGTTTAAAAAACAGCTTCTGGCAAAGGTTTTTTGATATGTAGCTTGTCTGTCTTTGGAAATGCTGCAGAATATTTCAGTCAGAGAGTTGGGATGGTGTACATTAGCAACAGATGGATAAAATGTGGGACAGAAAAACAATCTTAATCAAAATTGGTCATTATCTTCCTTTTTACTATTTGACAAAGGAAAGATGGGGAAGCCTGACAACATTAATTCAACAGGGGGGGATGCATGTTAGAAAGATTTAACTGCAAAGACATCTAATAAGTCAGTGGCCAAGATATTTATAAATGTGTTACAGTGTTTCTGATATGGGAGAAAAGCATCTGTGAAAACCTTCTATGCTTATGCTATGTAGGAGTAGTCATCTGAACAGTAAATCATAATGCATTTCTGAAAGAAACTATTTTCCTCCCAATTGGACAAGGGATAGCTTTTCCCTAACACTATTGAATCCCTGACTTCTCACCATTTTTTTAGAGGAGAGTATTGCTATTAAGAAGTAATTCATGCATAGTCATTAAAAAGTTACCTGTCTGAGAAAAAAATGTGTGACGGTTAGCTCCATACTTAAAACTATTTGTAAATTGAATCACAGACCTATAATACTTATGAATGAAGAGTGATAGGCACCATGCTGCTATGCATTGATTCTTCAGTAGACTGTGTTGCTTAAACATTATCAATCCACTTTCTCTCCAGTGCTCCAGATCAATGTATCACATAACATGGTAAAATGTGTACAAATGACTTTAACTATTGAATTTATATGAAGCCTGCCTTTTACTCCTCTCTCTTCTTGTACATTTTTTAAAAAATGCATTACTATCCATAGTCATTGTAGCGGGAATTCTGAGATAGAGAGACCACTAGGATTCAGCAAGGAGAGTCAACAGTTGTTTATTAAGTGCGTGGTACAGCCGAAAGCACTTCTCTGGGCACTTTCAAAACAGGGTGTGTACCCCGAATGCAGGCTTGAGCAGATACTTATATAGATTTTCCAACAGAGTACAGAAAAAAAATCATTTCTGAGAATTGGCAGGCAAAATTATCACAGACATTGACCATGAAGCCTGAAGCATTGTGTTTTTTTGCAAAACCACAAACATCCTTGGCTGTTCACATGTCCCTTGTGGGTAAGCTACCAGATTTCCTGTTATCACCAGGTGTTAACTTTATTGATAATGGAAGTAAGCAATAACAGAACAACAAGCAGAGGTCAGCCTTTCCTAGTAATGGGTCTAGCCAGGGCTATTTTTGGGCAGGAACGCACAGGAACGGAGTTCCGGCTGGCTCCCAAGCTGGCCACGCCCAGCAGGAACTCATTAGCATAACAGGCCACACCCAACAGCAGGAACTCATTAGGATTGGCTACATTAGGGGTGTGTGGCCTAACATGCAAAGGAGTTCCTGCTACAAAAAAGCCCTGGGTTTTGACAACAAACAAGGTAAACAGAATAAGAAACAAAAGGTGGGTGTGGCTGGATGACAACACTTCTGTTGACATGGGGGTGTGGCCTAATATGCTAATGTGCCGTGCTGTCAGGGTGTGGCCTACTATGCTAATGAGTTTCTGCTGTTGGGTGTGGCCTATTATGCTAATGAGTTCCTGCTGGGCTTTTTCTACAAAAAGAGCCCTGGGCCTAGCAACGCCTAATGTGGTCATATGAGCTTGTCTTCCTACTTGCCAAAGCAATGAGCTGTTTTCTTTTTCTCTATTTCCAAAAGCTATGTTCCCTTAATGATTTGCAGAAGCAAATGTGTTTCCCTAATGGAATGGCCTTATAATGCAAGCAAATTGCAGGTAAATTGCAGGTAAATGCTTCAGTCAAGACGACATAGCTACAGGATTACAGACTACAACTTACATAGATGCCATTTAATTGGGCTAGCCAATGTGATGAATGGAGAGCTACATTTGGATCTCTGTTCAGTTTCCATTTTTTGCCATGAACTCATTATATGCAGCATGCTGGGCAAGTCTCTCTTTTATATATGTGTGTGTATGTGCATGTGTTATGTTTGCACATTTGTGTTGATACACATAGAAATAGAGGTTTTCTGTGAATGCCATTAAGATTATAAAAAACACATTCGGAATTAATGTTGTATAAATTATTAGCAGTTAGGGGTTTCTCTTCAGTAAATTCAGCTTTGATCAATCCTGATAAAATACAATACGCAGAGCTAGAAAAAAAAAATCCCTGGTGCCTTATAGCCAAAAAAGTAACAATTTGATGATGGTGTCTAGTAGTTTGAAATATTTGTTTTCTAGTCTTGCTAGGAGGTATTGTGATCTGTGCTTTAATATCCACCATTATGCCATTTTTATGTGTCCCTTGCTTTGAAAATGTAAATGCCCTACACCTTAAAACCTGTCAGAAAACATCACCCTCCCTTAAAGTCCTGCTTTCCTCTGCCAGTTCTCAGAAGCAAGTGTACTTATTTGGGAATGATACACACAGCACAACCCCAATCAGAGCTACACCCTTCTAAGCCCATTGACACAACTGCACTGTTGCTGAGTTATGGGAGATTTTCTTTTGGATAAACATAGGCAGCCCAGACTGCACATTCTAAACCTGAACACTGTCTGTCAAGGTAATGAAGTACCTGTTTCCCACTACAGAATGCTGTTAGTTGGAGAATCTGTACTTGGTACTACTAGGATGCCATGCCTGTTTTTAGAGATTTGAGTCCAAGGAAGAACCGCAGCGTTATCACCTTACTTGAGAACAGAAAACCTGTAAGCGCGGAAATAGAGCCTTATGTCGGAGTAGCAGGCAAGACTGGATGTTCAAACAACCTGCATAAATACCTGTTTCCAAGACATCGTAGCAAGGCTCACATTTAATTAATATTGCCTGTTTCATGAAACGCTCCGCAGTGCTTTTCCCTCGATGCCCTAGCCTGCAGTTCTCCTCCCCCCACCACGACAAATTTCTCCCTTCTGCTCTGTCTCGGCAAGCGTCTTTCTAGCAGCCCACCAAGCGAGGCAAAAGCCCCGGCTTTACTTTCCACCACCGCGCGCCTGCCTCTAGCGTGTCTTTCGCACATGCTCACTCGGCACGTCCCCAGAAGGCCGGGCATGTGCAGAAGGCAACGTAACGCCTGCTCCGGGAATCTGCCCTGGCGGACGCTCCACGCCTCTCCCTCCAGGTGAAACGGTCGCCTGCCTGACGCCATCAGGCGAGGGAGAGAGGTCCTATTTCCGGGTGCCGATCCTGTGGCTGAGGCGCTGTTGTCTAGAGGCATCATGAAGAGGAGCAGAAGCAGCTGGAGCTTCTCAGCAGCCTCAAAGATCAAGGTAAGGAATCAGAAGCCGCCGCCGCCGCCGCCGCCCTTCAACACTGCAAGTCAGGCAAGCGCCCGGGAGCGAAGGAAAAGAGAACCCGCGTGTACAGCTGGGAGCGGCTGCTTGGCTGTTGCCGCTTCCCTTATTCGGAAGCCATTCAGTAACAAGCAGACAGACAAAAGCAAGGAACCAACTTGGAACTGCAGTTTGCCTTCCTACCCTCCGCTAGGAACGGGGCTCGGGGCGCTGCAGCCGGAGGAGGGCGTGAACTGTGTGAGTGTCAAGATGCAGCCAGACGTCGGTGACACAATGTCTGGGGGGTGTGGAGGGCACAGAGCGTGTTACAGGCGCTAGATCTTTTGCATCAGGCGTGGCCAGCCGGGGAGCTAATAAATAAGGGCCCTTGAGGAAATGTTTATAACAGCCATAGGGCTTGATTGCCAAGGCCCAGGTCTTCTCCATGCGTTTCCCCTTATTGCCTTAAGAACCAGAGAGATCCCCTTTCTCTTTTGCTCCACACCTACTGCAGTGGTATGCTTGTGGAATTCCCCCTCCTTTGACCATGAAACCAGGAAATCAGACAGTTTTAATGATTTAGTCAACTTTCCCCAGCCCTCCCATCAGCTACAATAATATCAATTGCTGCTCCAGCGAGGTCAGCAGCTGGCACCAGAATAACAGAGCCCAGCCAATTTGTGGATTTCAGTGGCTGGGAGGATGAAATAGGGTAGCATGTGCATGGATTTACATAGCTTTTCCTCTCCTGCTTGCCTACAAAGGAGGCTTCTCGGCTGTGTGAAACAAATAATAAGCCTTCAGAGTGGAACCCCCAAGTAAGTGTCTCCAAGAAAATAATTTAAGGGAAACACCCCTTGAACTCAGACACTTTGTCCAAAAGGGCAAAACAATTTGAAAAAGGAATGTCCAACTAGTTGAGCCAATTGGTTCTCAAAGGTGGAGCTAACTGTTGTACACAATGTAAGTAAAGGGATTTGGGAGGTTTTCAGCACCCCAGGCCTACTACCTCTTGTGCTGGGACCTGTTCAGAAAACCAGCTAAACATCTAATGGCTGGCATCTGGACCCCAGCCCCTGTTTTCTTCAGAACGTGTTACTACCTGCTCAGCTGATTGTGTTTGGCTTTCCATGAGCCCTTGCTTGTGCCCGGCCAGATGCTTTAAAAATAGTGTCTTCTTTCAAGCAGGTGTCACATCAAGATTAGTGCTATGATGAAACAAAGGAGTTGGGGTTCTCTGGGGTGGCTAACTATTACTCTTGTTCACTCTAAAAGTAGACATTTTCAGCTGGAAATGTGGACTGTGCCCCCAAATCCAGCTAGCAAGAAGCAACAAACACTGTACATTACAATATATACAATATGTTTGTGGACCAAATTATGACACATGAAGTGGTCCTAAGAGCTGGATTTACAAAATGCATATCACACCCGTGAATCCTAACTTAGTGATAGACTATTTACTTATTTATTTATTTATTTATAAGATCTGTACTCCCACCTTTCTGCCCAACCAGGACTAGCAAACGAAAACAGAGCAATATAAAAACACATCATAAAATTTGTTAAAATGAAAACTGAAGTATATAAAGCACAGCCAGTAATTAAAACATAGGGCACTGAGGAGTGGTCATTGGGAGGACACCAGACAAAACAAAGTGTTCACCCACTGGCAGAAGACAGTGACGGAAGGGGGCAGACAAATCTCCAAGAGGCAAGAGTCCCATACTTTTGATGCCATGACCGAGAAGGCCCTGTTTCAAGTTGCCTCCAGTCCAGGAAAAGCAGGGTCACTCGAAACAAGCCCTCAAAAGATGGCAGTTGTGGTTGGGTAGGTTTTTACAGAAGGAGGCACTCTTGAAGGTAGTGTTGGCCATATAGATTTTTAAAGATCTTTTAGAGGTCAGTACTACCACCTTGAATTGAGCATGGAAACAAATGGGACCAATGTAGATGGGTCAAGACTGAGTGATGTAATCCCAACAACCAACTCTAGTCAACATTCTGACTGCAGCATTCTGTACCAATTGAAGTCTCCAAAGACTGCTCAAGGGGAGCTCTACATAGAGTGCATTGCAGTAATCTAATCTAGATGTTACCAGGGTGTGTATCATGGTGGCCAGGTATCTTCTGCCCAGGAAAGGCTGTAGCTGGCTAAGTCAAAGCTGGTCAAAGGCCCTGATTGTCACTGCTGCTACCTGCCAGTAGGGCCAGGGCCAGCAGCACCCCCTCCCCAAGTTGCTCACCAGTAGCAATTATGTTTGTTTCAGTTTAACATATCCATATGTTATTATCAGTAACTGATATGTATTATCAGTTTATGCCTGTGGCAGTAATGCATTGGAGAAAATCTTGTCATTGACACCTTGTTTGAAAACTGGGGTTCTGGTGTACTTGAGTGGAACTGGGGCAGAAATGGGAAAGTTCAGAAAAATAAAGTGGAGAAAAATACCATAAACAAAACACCTTTAATGTATTGTTTTTCCTCAGTGTCTGAAATGGATAAATTGACATTTTGAGGGCAGGGATTCTCAGATACATATTTTCTCTTTCAGAATAATTAGTGGAATATGTTTTTATAAGCAGTGCTTTAAAATAATATTCTTGCAGTCAATTTTGTTGTTGTTGTTCAGTCGCACAGTCGAGTCCGACTCTTCGCGACCCCATAGACCAGATCACGCCAGGCCTTCCGGTCTTCCGCCGTCCTTTGAAGTTTGCTCAACTTCATGTTCATTTCATCTATGACACTGTCTAACCATCTCATCCTTTGCCGTCCCCGTCTTCTTTGACCTTCAGTCTTTCCCAGCATCAGGGTCTTCTCCAGTGAGTGCTCCCTTCTCATTTGGTGGCCAAAGTATTTGAGCTTCAGTTTCATTATCTGGCCTTCCAGGGAACAGTCAGGGTTGATTTCTTTGAGGATTGACTGATTTGTTCTTCTTGCAGTCCAAGGGACTCTCAAGAGTCTTCTCCAGCACCATAGTTCAAAAGAATCTATTCTTCGGCGCTCGGCCTTCCTTATAGTCCAACTCTCGCAGCCATACATGACTACTGGGAATACCATTGCTTTGACCATGCGGACTTTTGTTGGCAGGGTGATGTCTCTACTTTTTATCATGCTGTTTAGGTTCGCCATCGCTTTCCTCCCAAGGAGCAGGCGTCTTTTAATTTCATGGCTGCTGTCACAGTCTACAGTGATCTGGGATCCCAGGAACAGGAAGTCTGTCACTACTTCCACGACTTCCCCTTCTATTTGCCAAGGAGTGATGGGGCCGGATGCCATGATCTTAGTTTTTTTGATGTTGAGCTTCAAGCCCACTTTTGCGCTCTCCTCTTTTACCCTGAGCAAGAGACTCTTAAGGTCCTCTTCACTTTCTGCCATTAGAGTGGTATCGTCTGCATATCTGAGGTTGTTGATCTTTTCCCCAGCAATCTTAATTCCCGCTTGTGATTCATCCAGGCCAGCATTTCGCATGATGTACTCTGCATATATATTAAATAAGCAAGGTGACAATATACATCCTTGTCGTACTCCTTTTCCTATGCTAAACCAATCAGTTGTTCCATATCCGGTTCTAACTGTTGCTTCTTGACCCTTATACAGGTTTCTCAAGAGACATGTGAGGTGGTCTGGTACTCCCATCTCTTTAAGGACCTGCCATAGTTTGTTGTGATCCACACAGTCAAAAGCTTTAGCATAGTCAATGAAGCAGAAGTAGATATTTTTCTGGTACTCTCTTGCTTTCTCCATAATCCAGCGAATGTTGGCAATTTGATCTCTAGTTCCTCTACCTCTTCGAAACCCAGCTTGTACTTCTGGCAGTTCTCTATCCACGTACTGTTGAAGCCTAGCTTGTAGGATCTTGAGCATGACCTTGCTAGCGTGTGATATGAGTGCAATTGTGCGATAGTTTGAACATTCCTTGGCGTTGCCCTTCTTTGGGATTGGAATGTATACTGATCTTTTCCAATCCTGTGGCCACTGTTGCGTTTTCCAAATTTGCTGGCAAATGGAGTGCAGCACTTTAACAGCATCATCTTCTAAGACTTTGAATAGCTCAGCTGGAATACCATCACCTCCACTAGCTTTGTTGTTAGCAATGCTTTCTAAGGCCCATTTAACTTCACATTCCAGGATGTCTGGCTCGAGGTCAGTGATTATACCGTCGTGGTTGTCAAGGACATCGAGGTCTTTCTTGTATAGTTCTTCTGTGTATTCTTGCCATCTTTTCCTAATCTCTTCTGCTTCTGTTAGGTCCCTACCGTTTTTGTCCTTTATCATGGCCAGCTTTGCATGGAACGCTCCCTTGATTTCTCCAACTTTCTTGAAGAGATCTCTAGTCCTTCCCATTCTATTGTTTTCTTCTATTACTTTGCACTGTTCATTCAGGAAGGCCTCCTTATCTCTCCTTGCTGTTCTCTGGAAATCTGCGTTCAGTTGGGTAAATCTTTCCTTTTCGCCTTTGCCTTTCGCTTTCCTTCTTTCCTCTGCTATTTGTAAAGCCTCATCAGAAAGCCACTTTGCTTTCTTACATTTCTTTTTCTTTGGGATGGTGGTGATTGCTGCCTCCTGTACAATGTCACGAACCTCCGTCCATAGTTCTTCAGGCACTCTATCTATCAAATCCAGACCCTTGAATCTATTCTTCACCTCTACTGTATATTCATCAGGGATGTGATCTAGGTCAAACCTGAATGGCCTCATGGTTTTCCCGATTACTTCCTACTTTAGCATTCTTCCTACTTTACCATTCCAGTCTCCTACGATGATGAAGACATCATTTTTTGGTGTTAGTTCTAGGAGGTGTTGTAGGTCTTCATAGAACCGGTCCACTTCAGCCTCTTCTGCATCAGTGGTTGGGGCATAGACTTGGATTACTGTGATGTTGAATGGTTTGCCTTGGAGTCGGACCAAAATCATTCTGTCATTTTTGAGATTGTATCCCAGTACTGACTTTTGCACTCTCTTGTTGACTGTAAAGGCCACACCATTTTTTCTA